AGGTTCCTGGCAGGTGTCCACTATAATCTAGCTGTGTAAAATTAGCAAGATAACAATCGGACGGAGCTGGAGACAACGGAACTTGATCAATTATTGTTATAGAGTATCACTAAACTAATTTTATTTACGACTCAAACCTGCATTATAGCGCGATCCATGCGAAGCCGCCGCGTGGTCGTCATTAGTTCAGTAAGAAGAATAGAAGAGTACGTAGAACATGCGTGGAAACGCGACTTTCTTCTACAGTTCTTCTTCCTCCTCCTCCTTAACAAACGCTTGCTTGCCAATCTTCGCGGCCGTGTTTGCTACCATATCTACATGCATATATAGGCTACCTTGCGCAGCAGCTCGTGCTTCGCGCCAAGCAAGAAAATCAGCATACTGTTCACCTATCGCCATGGTCGATTCAGCGGCACCTAGAGGGTTACTATTACGTGACGCCGGCGCCGCAAACGCGACCGTCTTTGCAATCTTCCCTTTCCCTGAGACAGAGCTATCCTTATCGCCCCTGGTTGCGTTAAGCGCCGGCGTGCTATAGCGCTGGACTATGGGCGAGCGAGAGTTCCTAGCCCTGCTAGAAGGTTTACCATAGTTCTCCTGGTTTAGGACATAGGCCTGAAGAATAGCGAGATCCAGCTTTAGGATAGACGTGCCTTCCTCCAGAATTACATTACTATTAAAGCATAGTTCCTCGTCAAGAGTGAGGACACCGTGGCTGTCCGGGAAAATCTGGCCTAGCGCACTGTGACTAAAGAAGGCTAAGCGTTTTTTCGTTTTGCCGTTTATATCACGATCCCCTTTTACGGCGTATTGGATCTTAACTTAGAACCACAGATACTTTAGTGTCAGGACACCCATTTTGTGCTCAACCTTCTAATTCTTTCTCAGCAAAACCTGGTAGTCGCAACCCAGTGCCATAACAACGCCTTAGATGCCAGTTAACTTAAAAGTTCCTGGCTTAGGTCTCTAATCAACCACGCGCTCAAGCTCCAGGTCTTAGCAAGTCCTTAGCGATGCCCTCCTCGCCTCATACACCCTGTTGCCGCGATCGGGCCTACGCTAATAAATAATATAGTAACCACGCCCGCACTTAGTAAAGCATAGATCTTTCCCATCGGGTGGACTGATACTAAATAGGCTTCTAGAGGTCTCTATAGGTATGATGACATCGGATTCGTAACCAGAATAATCATCACCGTCGACAAAGAGACTACTCTCTTGCGGTTCACTACCCGTTCTCCGTCTTACTTCTACTTCGTACTCGGCTAGCTGTCGCCGCTGCTGTTGCAATAGTTCGAGCTCTGAAAGTTTCGGTCCTTACTCCGAAAGTCCCGGCTCTTACTCCGTGTTCTCCTCTGGATCGTCAAGATCCATCATCTCATACTCCTGTAGTTTATTTTTCAAGTCTTTGATCTAGGCCAGCGTTAGCTTAACCGCTTTGTGCTTGCCTCGTAGATGTTAGG